AAATTTCATTTTAGTGCATTTTATCCTAAAATTACTTGTTTGATAAACATTTGTGCATATACTTGTGCAACTAGCATCTTTTTATTCTACAGGGACTCTGCTTTCAGAAAATATATCTGTAAGAAACTGCTCCGGGCAGCAAGTGGCTAATAGCCTCCTCGGCACTATATTTTCTTATAATTGTTTTATTAAACATATTATTTTTAAACTCATGTAACCTTTTTTTTACTTTTTCCTTTTTTTAAATTTTAAAAACGTAAAAAAAACAGTTTAAAACTTTGTTTTTATACTAGGGGGCACTAGGGGGTTATTTTTTTATTTACATGGGCTTCTGATACTAAGTATTCTGGGGAGATACAGTATTCTCCTCAGAGATACATTGTATCACTTTTGTAATTCACTGAACCGGTTTGCAGCTCCACAACACAGTGAGCTGCATTCATTGGTGAATGAGTAGGAGTAACAACTACCCCTTACTCATTCACAAGGGGGGGCTGGATCTGGGTGCCCCCTTAATGAAAGGAGGCACCCAGATTCTTATACACCCCCCCCCCTGCCTGCAGACCCCCACAACCACCGGCCCAGGGTTGTGGAGAAAAGGCCCTTATCCTCATGGACATGGGGATAAAGTGCTTTTTCAGGGGGGGCCCCCTGTCAAAGCACCCTCCCCGTGTCCAGAACATGTGGTCTGGTGAGGTGCAGGAGGGGGGCTCACGCTCGTCCCCCCTTTTCTGCTTTGCCAGGCTGCTGCTCGCATCAAGGTTCTGGTAATAGATTGGATTAGAATAGAATGGTTTAGAGAAGACTCCATGCTTTTTCTGGTTGGTGTCCCCCCTAAAATTCCTACTAAACTTAAAGTGTCAAAAAGTTAAAAACTTTTCTGCATTCTGTAATATCTCTCTGCTACATGGTTGGCATTCTGTAACAGCTCCCTGCTACTTTGTTGACATTGGGGATGCTTTCCAAAAGTCAACACAGAGGCAGAGAACTGTCACAGAATAAAACACAGCTCTCCGCTCCTTTGTTCCATTCCAAATGACATTCTGGAAACATTTCGAATGCATCCAAATTTTGTTATCAAAAACATTAGGATTTGTTTGGATCTGTTATTTCTGTCATTTGGAAATACGGATGCATCTGAATGTCTGAATATGTCTGAATATGCAGACATTTGTATGAATATCATTTTTGAATGAAACGAATTGCACGTCTACTATCTGTGTGGAGAACTATCACCAAGCAAACATTAGCTGGTATATCCTAACTCCTGACATTTTTCTACTATGGGATAGAGCAGGGAAGAGTCAACATTTGCTTCTGTCTGTGACTATATTGTGAACACTTCTTGTTCTTGTGATTCCCATACAGGAAATGGAGGGAATGGTTGTCACAGACAGTACAGGAAGGCCTGGATAGCAATCAAAATTGTTAGAATTTCCAAGCCCTCCCTAACTCTGCTCTAAGACCAGATTCACATATTTGCATTGCAGTGATGAACTTTATAAATGGCACCCCAAGGCACATCCCTAATGCACCACGCTGAACCTACGTTTTAGCACACCCCAATGCACAGAGGTCACTGTGAACCATCTGTGGTGTGCTTGGACGAAAGTGCATGTAGATTGTTGGCTGCCCATTCAAAACAAATGTTACGGACACAACATAGGATTGTTAGGGTCCGCAAACAAAAAATATAAAAGTGGCCCCATGGGATTGTCACCCCTATCACCCATGTGTTTTTAAAATGAATTATATTCAAATAGAGGTCTGTGGCCACTGTCACGTACATGTCTCTCTAGGGCTGCTTTGCTGGTTAGTTCTGCTTTGAACTAGGAAGATTTACCTTAAGGTCCCCACACACCTTGCGATAGTCGTACGATAATCGCGGGAAATCCGGCGATTGTACAATTATCGTAAGGTGTGTGGAAGCCGTGCGACCTCTACTACTGTAAGGTCGCACGACTTTAAACTTACGAACATGTTTGAAAACCCGCCGAGCATCGTACGATGTTCGGCGGGTGTGTAGCATGTTCGGAAGATAAAAGCCGGATGGGCCGGTGTGTGCAAGCGCACACTGCCCATTCAGCATAGCGGTCATTGGAAGCCCACCCCTCAGGGGGATGCGGCTTTGCGATCATCGCAAGTACGATCTGCCTGTCCAAGATGGGCAGATCGTACGTTTTTTTAAGTACCTTACAACCATCGCAAGACAAAAGTCTTGCAATGGTTGTAAGGTGTGTGCCCAGCATCAGTTGCTGGGCAGATCTTCTATCAGCTGAGCACAGGATTGGGGGAAAGATTTGTGTCAGGAAACCAGCTGGCCAATGAGTGTAACCTCTCACCTCTATAGGCCTTCCTGTCACTGGGCGGGGTCAGCAGTTAAATCAGAACTGCAAGCACTATTTTGATCGGAACGCACTGCACGCACAATGTGCCTTGCGATCCCGTGCATGCGATCGCATTTTGGCTGCAGGGCGTGGCTACGGTGCCATTCACTTCAATGGCTCGCCATGCCCCCTCCAGCCCGGCAAAAAAGTGAGCCGGCCGCAAAATGGGATAATGTCACCCACTTTGTGGGTGGACAGTGGTCGGTAAGCGGTAATTTGATTGGTGTAAGTTATTGCTGCTTGAGTCTTGCTGACTGAGCATGGGGGTCTGTTAATGGTTAACAGGGGTTCAGTTGGGTAATAAAAGTTAAAGTTTATTACATGGTAAACCTGATTGAAACCAAATAAAGGCACCACAGCCTATGGTTTTCCCACAATCTGTATTGCTTATTTTTACTTTATTATTTAGATATGTTGTTATAGCATGATGGGTGTTAATGAGGTGTACAATCCCATAAACACCCGTCATACCATAACACAGGGGTGGACCTACCGGCGGTGTAGCCTGTGCGGCCGCCCCGGGGCCCAAGGCTAGGGGGACCCACTGACAGAGGCAGACTGGGCTGGCGGGCAGCACGATGCAGCCTGAGCTGGCGCTGCCGTGGTATACAGCAGGCCGGGCAGCACGGACGCTCCGGCGCTGTGTCTGATGCCGGTGTTTTGGACCTCCTCTCTCCTGTGTCACATGCCCCGCCCCCTTCAGACCATGTGGCTGTGATGGTGTCGGGCTATGGCAGCACTACAGTATGTAAGGTAAGTAATTGAATAGGTGAAAGGGGGGTAGGGGGCCCAGAAACTGCCCACGGTGTGCTGTGTTTTCTTTTAGAGAAATAGATGATAATAGGGAATATTACGCTAATATTGCTAAGTGCAGAGTCCAGTGCCTTCCTAAGTGCAGAGTCCAGTGCCTTCCTAAGTGCAGGGTCCAGTGCGTTGCTAAGTGCAAGGTCCTGTGCGTTGCTAAGTGCAGAGTCAAGTGCATTGCTAAGTGAAGGGTCCAGTGGATTGCTAAGTGCAGAGTCCAGTGCATTGCTAAGTGCAGAGTCCAGTTCATTGCTAAGTGAAGGGTCCAGTGCGTTGCTATGTGCAGGTTCCAGTGCGTTTCTAAGTGCAGAGTCCAGTGCATTGCTACGTGCAGGGTTCAGGACATTGCTAAGTGCAGGGTCTAGTGCGTTGCTAAGTGCAGGGTCTAGTGTGTTGCTAAGTGCAGGGTCTAGTGCGTTGCTAAGTGCAGGGCCAAAGGCGTTGCTATGTGCAGGGTCTAGTGCGTTGCTAAGTGCAGGGTCCAGTGCGTTGCTACGTGCAGGATCCAGGGCGTTGCTAACTAAGTGCAGAGTCCAGTGCATTGCTAAGTGCAGAGTCCAGTTCATTGCTAAGTGAAGGGTCCAGTGCGTTGCTATGTGCAGGTTCCAGTGCGTTTCTAAGTGCAGAGTCCAGTGCATTGCTACGTGCAGGGTTCAGGACATTGCTAAGTGCAGGGTCTAGTGCGTTGCTAAGTGCAGGGTCTAGTGTGTTGCTAAGTGCAGGGTCTAGTGCGTTGCTAAGTGCAGGGCCAAAGGCGTTGCTATGTGCAGGGTCTAGTGCGTTGCTAAGTGCAGGGTCCAGTGCGTTGCTACGTGCAGGATCCAGGGCGTTGCTAAGTGTAGGGTCCAGTGCGTTGCTACGTGCAGGGTCTGGGGCGTTGCTAAGTGCAGGGTCCAGTGCGTTGCTACGTGCAGGGTCCAGGGCGTTGCTACGTGCAGGGTCCAGGGCGTTGCTACGTGCAGTGTCCAGGGCGTTGCTAAGTGCAGGGTCCAGGGCGTTGCTAAGTGCAGGGTCCAGGGCGTTGCTAAGTGCAGGGTCCAGGGCGTTGTAGAGTCCAGTTCGTATACTATTCTGCATTGCTGTATAATGTATTGCTCGGATTTAATGTCCCCCTACAACTGGTGCCATTCTGCATTAGAGTGTAAGCTCCTCTGTACAGAGACTGATGTTGCTGGATCAGTGTTCTCTGTACAGCACTGCGGTATATGTCAGACAACATATCTAAATGATAAAGTAAACATGTTGTTTCACTTGTTTAGTCTGATGTGAGAAAACCCCACTATATGTGATGTGTTCCCATTCACACAGCATACCTAAAAATATTTTTTGGAGCATATATTTAATGACTTCCACAATACAGGAAGTGATGGAATATCTCCTCCATTGATTGACTAAGGTTGTAATTCTGCCCCACTCCAGCCAAATAAAGTTTTGCTCTTCCAGCACAGTAATGGGAAAGTTCCTGCAAAGCAGAAAGAGGTATGGCAGCTACAGAACTGAATGCGGGTCATTTAGAACTATTGGTCTTCGGGAAAATGGTCGCAGCTCTGGCTGACCTAAAGACAAGTTAAAGTAAGTTTATTCCCCTAGTGACATGACGTCACGAATCGCTCTGATTGGTTCCTGGCACCGATCAGCGCGGCGCTGATGGGCTCAGTGTATTCCAGTGATGGCGCAGGCTAGGGAAGCAGCGGCCGTGGAGCTGCGGGAGAGGAAGCCGTGTACTGGGGGGCAGACTCCGGATGGCGGGGGTCCGCTGAGGTCGGAGGATAAGATGACAGCGGCTGAGTACTCCCGGAGGCTGCAGGAATGGCTCTGGAATCCACTCCCGCCACCAGCAATGCCGCCACTGCACCACCTCCTCCGGCAGCAGGTGAGAGGTCACCCTAGCCCTTGTCACTGTCTCTTATTAGTCCAACCTTTAGTCACTATCTCTTATCAGTCCTTGTCAATGTCACCTATCAGTCCTGGCTTTATCAGTGTCTATCACTTCAACCCTTGTCACTGTCACCTATCGCCCCAGCCCTTGTCACTGTCACCTATCAGTCCAGCCCTTGTCACTGTCACTCCAGCCCTTGTCGTTGTCTCCTATCACCCCAGCCCTTGTCACGGTCACCTATCGCCCCAGCCCTTGTCACTGTCACCTATCAGTCCAGCCCTTGTCACTGTCACTCCAGCCCTTGTCGTTGTCTCCTATCGCCCCAGCCCTTGTCACGGTCACCTATCGCCCCAGCCCTTGTCACGGTCACCTATCGCCCCAGCCCTTGTCACGGTCACCTATCGCCCCAGCCCTTGTCACGGTCACCTATCGCCCCAGCCCTTGTCACGGTCACCTATCGCCCCAGCCCTTGTCACGGTCACCTATCGCCCCAGCCCTTGTCACGGTCACCTATCGCCCCAGCCCTTGTCACGGTCACCTATCGCCCCAGCCCTTGTCACGGTCACCTATCGCCCCAGCCCTTGTCACGGTCACCTATCGCCCCAGCCCTTGTCACGGTCACCTATCGCCCCAGCCCTTGTCACGGTCACCTATCGCCCCAGCCCTTGTCACGGTCACCTATCGCCCCAGCCCTTGTCACGGTCACCTATCGCCCCAGCCCTTGTCACGGTCACCTATCGCCCCAGCCCTTGTCACGGTCACCTATCGCCCCAGCCCTTGTCACGGTCACCTATCGCCCCAGCCCTTGTCACGGTCACCTATCGCCCCAGCCCTTGTCACGGTCACCTATCGCCCCAGCCCTTGTCACGGTCACCTATCGCCCCAGCCCTTGTCACGGTCACCTATCGCCCCAGCCCTTGTCACGGTCACCTATCGCCCCAGCCCTTGTCACGGTCACCTATCGCCCCAGCCCTTGTCACGGTCACCTATCGCCCCAGCCCTTGTCACGGTCACCTATCGCCCCAGCCCTTGTCACGGTCACCTATCGCCCCAGCCCTTGTCAACTCAGCTCTTGTCACGGTCACCTCAGACCTTGTCAATGTCACTTGTCACCCTTCACCCCAACCCATGTCACTGTTACCTATCACCCCAGCCCTTGTGACTATCACCGGTCAATCTAATCCTGTCACCTCAGCGCTTGTTACCTGACACCCCCAGTCCTTATAACCTGTCTCCCCATGCCTTGTCACTATAAGCAATCTGGCACTATCATCTGGACTCCCACCACCCTGGTACACCTACAATAGTTGCCATCTGCCCTTGCTGACTGCCAGGGACACTGTCTGATAATGATTTTCTGTTGTCGATGGAAGTGTTCTGCATTTCAGTATTGGCACCTTCCCAGGGATGTGACACTTCACTTCCGCTTGACTTCTCTACAAGGATGAATGTGCAGATCTGAAGGCTGGTTGGCTATATAAGAGACACTAGCTGCTTGGAGAATATGGTGGTTTACCTTCACCTGTTGAATTGCAGCTTGACAAGTTCCCCTTTTCCTCAGTGATGCAGTGTGGGTGACCGTTCTGAGGTTGTGGTTGACCTGGTTTGCATTGCGTTGCATTTGCCTGGATGGAGCGTTGACATGTGTTTGTGTTGGAGGGAAAGCAGACCAACCGCAGCCACTCACAGCCATTGCCTTCCATTAGAGGCTGTATGGTGGGGGAAGAATATGCTGGTATTGATGTACGGGTTCGGCCACCCCCGTGCATGAGTCCATTTCTTACTGTTTTGGAGCAACTTTTTTTTTCATGTAACTGTCTTTACAAACTCAATTCATTCTGATCTGGACTGTCCCCGGCTCTCTACTGCTTGATATTTTTCAGACATTACTTGGAAATAGTTCATGCTCCTACAGGGTTCTTTTGTGTTTTATGTCTCATGTCAGAAGACCCCAAACGTTCTATTGTATAATTGTACATTTAATTCATGGTAAACAATATTGATATGTACCTGGTGTCATTTCTGTTCTTGTATGTGTAGTTTCTGATACCTATCAATGGAAAGCTCTACTTCATTCTAATCTGTTTTGTTGCCTGTTCAGGTCGGGAGTTCATTATTCCAACCTTGGCCCAAAGGTTCAGAGCGGAGATGGTGGACTTCTTCATTCTCTTTTTCATAAAAGCAGCTGTCATTTTAAGCATCGTGCATTTCAGCGGAATCAAGTAAGTTTATTGTGTTTAGAATTACAATTGTGTGACAGGCAAGGTGTGTCTTTTGTCTTATCAGTTCTGAGTGAAAGGATATTTGGATCAAAGCATGTGACAGTCATTTGTATTATTATTTATATGCTTCCACATCTGTTTATTTCACTTGACCTTAAATGCCCTCAGCAGAAACCACTGAGGTCAGTGTTGACTCAGCAACAGAAATCTAGCACTGAAATCAAGAAAGTTACCAGTTGACACCCAACACAAACGTTTGGCTAATGGTGTGTGTTACCTGAACGTTAGACACAAGATAACAGTTGGCTGATCAGGCCACCATCGCATGTCCACTCCTGCTAAGTATGGAATGGAAAATCACCAGCATTCACAGGGATCAGAATGTGAATTCTTGTTCCTTTTTATTGAACATGCGTCTTTAAACCCGTTTCGGGGCCGCGCAAGGTCCCTTATTCGGGGTAACCTATAGTAACTGTCACCCTAAGAAGGGACCCTGTGTGGCCCCAAAAGGTTGGCTTTGATGATGCATGTTCAATAAAAAAAGATCAATAATTCACATCCTGATCCCTGTGAGCTCTAGTGATTTTCTATACCTTGGGGTTACGCGGCGCCATCCGTGTCATCACTGCATGCAGCACTAACAAGAACTTTACGTTTATGGAGTGCAGGTGATTTACAACAACACTACACTCCTGCTAACTGACATACCTTGGGTGAGCAATTAATTGGGCAGACTTCAAAAGATGGTTCCACTGTTGTCCCCATCCTTCCCATTCCCATGAGGTAATTGGCTGCTGCTGCCTCTTCTTCATTTACTAAACGTGTGCTCACTGTGCTTTCACTGCACACTGTGGGCTTCTTGTGCATTATAAGCTGCAGCAAGGCAGATAGAACTCGCCTCATTTCCTGGCTGTAGGATGTTCAGCACCATCAAGCCTCTTCTACCCCAGCCTGACTCTCCCTGACCTGCCCCTTTCATTCATAGGATATCCGGACTTTCAATCATGGAGGCTCAGTGTCACATATAGGCATTACCTAGGGCAGTCTACACGGAAATGCAGCCTGCCTGGGAATGTCCACTCCCCCAGACTGACACCCACCCATCAAGGCATTTAAAAAAAAAAAATTAACAATTATTTGTGAGGTTTTATACAAAGATACAAGACATCTACACTGACTGCGATATTGGTGGACAGTTCTCAGGAGAATAAAAGGATCCATAGACGGCGGGCAAACAGTGTTGATACATACATATGAATTCTAGTTTACCGCTTCACATACCAACATTACTAGATTACTCTAGTACACAGTGTAGGATGATATTTTGTTTGTAGCAGTTCACCATTTATATATCTCTATAGCTGTCGAGAAACCTGTCGGTCTTAACATTAAGAGAGGAAGAAAGCGAAAGAAAGGAGGTAGAGTATATACATAAGAGGAAAAGGTGAGAAGTGGTAGAAGTGTCTCTTACCTACCCAAATAAAGTTTAGCACGTCCCTTTGACGGGATCGAAGGTCAGAGGCTAGTATTCTCACTGCAAGGGTAGAAAAGTGCTATAACAGTTTCGGTAGTAGGGTCATTTTACCTGAGGATATTCTACCTGTGATGGACAGTTTTAAGGAGTTCCATCTATGCATCTGAAACCGTAAGGTTTGAAATAGTGGTTTATAGTTAGCTGTGTATAGAGATGAGGTGTTGGTTGTAATATAGATTCGCAAATATTTCAAGTGGTCACTTTTCCAACTATAAGGGAAAGATGTTTGTAATGAGCATAGGGTTTTAGGGGATATATTCAAAGGAAGTACCTCAGTTTATAGCCAGAGACCAGCGAATACCTATGGAGTTCCTCTTGTAAGTTTGCTAAAGATAGTAGTGGTTTTGTTAGGGAGAGGATGCAAATAGTGTCAACTTGAATTGTTGCAATCGCATCTGAATCCCCGAGAACACGTGATGCAAGCGGTTTGATACATAAGGCGTATAGAAGGGGAGACAAAGGGCACACCTGTCTGGTACCATTGCGTATTTCCATCAAGGCATTTTAATATTTGCATAGCTCCTTCCAAGAGCCTGCGCACTGCTCTTGAAGAGTGCTTAGGCGGGCTGCTGTGCTGTTTTACAGGAAGCTATGTGCAGCACCCTACCAACAGGCATGAACTGCATTGCACAGAGAGGTACAGAGGCCCAGTGATAACATCTGTGGGTCTAAAATAAGATATGTGATGAAAATGGAAAGGTTTTGTTTAAAAATTTCATTAGCATGTTGATGGGGGGGGCGGGGCAAGGAACACAGGAAGGCAAAATATAAGCAGAATGTTTTTTTCTGAAAAGCTAGTTCACACCAGCCATAGTGCGTTGCGGTCTGATTGGTGCCGGAACGCACTGGATCGTATTCTGGCCAGCTCACTTTGTTTTGGGGCATGGCAGTGCATTGAAGTCCAATGCAATGCAATCGCCCACACCGGAATGGCTGGCACATCAATGCCTGCTGTCCGGTCCGGTGCAATCAGAAAAAAATATCGCAATTTTACTGACTGCACTGGAAGCAGGCACTGATGTGCCATACGTTCTGGTGCGAGCAATGGCATTGCGACTGTAGGTCGTGGCTACGGTGCTATTGTTTTCAATGCACCGCCAAACCCTCCTCCCGCCCCAAAAACAAAGTGAGTGGCCGGGATGCGATCCAGTGCGTGCCGGAACACACTGTGGCTGTTGTGAATGAGGCCTAAACCCTTCTGCTGGGGAACTTCAGTTACATATGATATGACTTTGTTCATTTCTAGGTTGACAGTTTTTTTTCCTTATCTTCCTATAGAGATATTTCTAAATTTGCGATGCACTACATCATTGAAGAAGTAGACGAGGATACCTCCATGGAAGACCTGCAGAAAATGATGGTGGTGGCACTTATTTACAGGCTTCTTGTTTGTTTTTATGAGGTATGTGTGAAGTATTCCCTTTCTTCTAAAAATATTGGAGTGGTAAATGTTCATTAGCTCTACGTTTCCTCATTTGGCTTAAAGTGGGCTTAAATACTTGGTAGCCCTTCCAGTCTGTGTTAAAAGTGGCCAAACCTATCACTATTTCTACCCAGAATTGTGGACTTTGTACCTAAAGGAGCACACCGCATGAGTGGTACTGAGGCCGGAGTATTAACATTACTTCAGTGTTCCTGATGTGTGGACTTTTACTGAGGCCGGAGTATTAACATTACTTTTGTGGAGCACTTCCTCATTTACTTCCCACTAAGGCCAAATCCTTCATAGGAAAGTGTTGTGTTAGACGTGAAGTATATACAAAGGCAATTAGAGGAGGATTGCAGGCATACATGTTCAGAGCGAGGACATTACATCAGTGGATACCGGGAGCAGCGCCATGGAAGTAACTAACATACAACCTTCGCCTCTACTCCCTATGGTGGAGAGAAACTCCCTTTTATTCTCTTTTCTTCCTTATTCATCTCGTTACACTTAGGTGTGCAGCCTTACTATTGCTGCTTTGAAAGTCAGAATGTGGTTTCTAAAAGGAGAACACCTCCAATGACTCATGTATATTTGCATTTTGTTGATGGCCTGCGTGCAATGCGTTTTTCTGCACAAGAACCACAGGCAGTCACCGCCATTGTTCTCCATGTGCCCTGTTCCCACTACAACACACCAGAGCTCACCTGTAATCACTGCCAGTCACTGCAAATGAAACTCATATGTGGCACATGAACTTTTTTTTTTTATTATTGACATTTTGTGATCTGAATTTTGTAACACTTAAATAAAACAAATGTAAACTGTGCAAAGTGCAGAAACATCGCAAATCACCGACCGAGCCCCACCAGCAGCCCGGACACAGCGGACACTAGCCGGCTCTGCTTTGTCCCTAATAGAACTTGGCACACACTGGGCCCCGGCACTCGGCATACATATGAACTTATGTCTGCGTTTTGTTTTGTTTTGACTAAAATGTTTTGTTTTTTTCTTTTTTAGATCATCTGCATTTGGGGAGCAGGTGGTGCAACTCCCGGAAAGTTCCTGCTCGGCCTTCGGGTTGTGACGTGTGATAACTCTGTGCTAGTTGCTCCAAACAGAGTGTTAGTGATCCCTTCCACAAATGTTAATATGACTGCGTAAGTACCATTTGGTTTTTAAAGACAATGGGGGGAATTTATCAAAACTGGAGCAGCTGTGCATTACAGCCAATCAGCTTCTCTCTTTCAAATCTTAAAGGTGCCCATACACCTGCCGATTATCTTTTGATAATCGGCAGGTGTATGGAAGGCGTGCGACCGTTTCTACTGTACGGTCGCACGTCTTTTGTCTTACGAGCATGTTTGAAAACCCGACGATAATCGTACGATTTTCCGCGAGTTTGTGGCGTGCTCGTAAGACAAATGCCGCTCGGGCCGGTGTGCGCAAGCGCATACTGCCCGCTCATCATTGCAGTCTGCGGGGCGGGCTTTGCGATGATCGCAAGTACGATCTGCCTGTCCAAGATAGGCAGATCGTATGTTTTTTTAATTACCTTACAACCATCGCAAGACAAACGTCTTGCGATGGTTGTAAAATGTATGGCCAGCTTAACTGAACAAACTGAAGAGAGCTGATTGGGCAGAATCTGGAGCAGTTGCCCATAGCAACCAATGTAAAGGCTGGTAACTTTCACATGAAGCTCTCTGTATAATAATTACCTGTATATTAAAAATCCAGATTAAAGCTGAACCCTGGGTACAAAGTTTTAATCAAAAAATATGTTCTTTTTGTTAATCAAAGCCGCATTTCAATGCTCAGTGCAGCTAACATCTGGTTGTAAGGTTGGGCACACACCTTACAACCATCGCAAGACTTTTGCGATGGTTGTAAGGTACTTAAAAAAACGTACGATCTGCCTATCTTGCATAGGCAGATGGTACTTGCGATCATCGCAAGCCACGCCCCCTGAGGGTCGGGCTTCCGATGACCGCAATGCCGAATGGGCAGTGTGCGCTTGCGCACACCGGCCCGTCCGGCTTTTATCTCACGAACATGCTACACACCCGCCGAACATCGGCGGGTTTGCAAACCTGTTCGTAAGTTTAAAGTCGTGCCACCTTACAGTAGTAGAGGTCGCACGGCTTCCACACACCTTACGATAATTGTACGATCGCCGGATTTCCCGCGATTATCGTACGATTATCGTAAGGTGTGTTGGGACCTTAAGACGGCACTGCCAGGCCACCGGTCTTGTAACTTCTCAAAGGTAGTGTAGTGCCAGCAGTAACGGCGTCATTACATTGCCAATCGCTATATTGCGCAATGCTGTGGCGGATCGGAATGACCCGGGGTTCAGGCTGGATGGGGGGGGGTGAAGCTTCTCTAGGTATCTGCCGGAACTTCCAATTGCCTGCTCTTCGTACCTGTCAGTAACTTGTGTCTTCGTTACATTGAATGTCACTAACACAGGCCAGTGTTAGTGACTTTTTTGTAACGTTATTTATATTGCTTCTTTCTGCGTCCAAATTTGTTATGGATTTCTTTTATAGGTCGACGGTCCGAGCGGTGATCAAGAATTTCTCCATTGCTTTCTTCTTCCCGGCATTTATTACATTGCTATTCTTCCAGCATAACAGAACAGCCTATGATATTGTAGCAGGTACCATCGTTGTAAAGAGGAACATGAGATGATGCTTTACTAGTCATTAGAACATTGGCTGGCCTACACACCACGGAGTTCCTCTGGAAACCTATTTATTAAGCTTTTTTTTGTAAAAAATCAGTTTTTAACTGTAAAAGGTGTTATTGAATGCAAGATAATCTTCATGGGGCCACTCGATGGCCATCTTCATTGTTGCTTCAAATTATCAGTATTGTCATTTGGAGGAAACGGCTCTGGATTCCGAGATACATATAGAAAGTGCTTTTGAAATGTGGACTTTCCATAGGTTTGTATAGACTGTATGAAGTATATTACTAAACCCTGCACAGTCTCAGGCTGAGGTATGAAACACTGAGACGTTGCCTATAGCAACATATGAGTTTCCTTGTCTCAGCTTACCAGTGGTGGTTGGACCAAATGCAGCCCAGCTCGTTGGGTATCTGTGCTTGGTATATTTTTTTTAAAGAGTATTCATAACAGTCTAAAGGAAAAGATACTTTACAATGGCCAAACATGTATACAGAATAGACGTTCCCCCAGTGAGTGAGTGAATGAAATGCCACAGTGTCCAATCAAAACAGATTACTGCTGAATTACATAGAAGTAACTATTTATAGTAAATAATGTCTATTAAAGCACAGTTCCGGCACCCCAAAACCACCCCCATGTGTGTGTTTCTTTAAGATGTCTTCATGCCAGTTACATGACACTATAAGATAAAATGATACCACTATAGTGTGTAACGATTACACATCAACCGATATGGTTGATAACCTATAAGCATATGTGTAAGAATACCACCTCCTATGTGGAGCAATGAGGTGGAAAAGGAAGTTATACTCCAACCAAAATGAGATAATTAATCAGCCGGATGGCTTACTTTATTGATTAGAAAAATATAATTTATACATTTAGGAGAGTATGAGCACAGCAGACACCGTGACACATGACACGTAAGATCCTCTTCTTCAGAGCTGATCCAGAGAGTGTTGTGTCACCCACTGCATACTGTAAGTACAGGACACCTATGACATGTGATGTAACCCAGAAGAGAGCTAGTGCTGGTCCATGGAGCAGTGAGTCTGTGGGGGCAGCGTTAGAGAGGAGGGGGAGTGATGCAGCAAGAGCGTTTACATTGTTAGATGAAGCTTAACTCCACTGAGCAAGGTGCGGAGTCTCTGCATAACACTCCAGATACATATTACATACATACAGGTGAAACTCGAATAATTAGAGCTTTAGAATAAGTGCTGCAAAAGGGGCCCAAACCAAGTACGGAGTACATATGCATGCTTGTACTTTTCAGAGGTCCGATATTGTTCTATGTACAATCCTTGTTTTATTGATTGCATGTAATCATCTACTTTTTTGAGGTTGTGGATTTGTGGTTCTTGGGGTTTTCATGAGCTGTAAGCCATAATCATCACAATTATGACAAATCACGGCTTGAAATATCTTGCTTTGCATGTAATGAGTCTATCTCATATATTAGTTTCACCTTTTAAGTTGCATTAATAAAAATAAATGAACTTTGCACGATATTCTAATTATTCGAGTTTCACCTGTGTCCTACTGATACAAACTCCAAGCTGTCCTATTAGATTCACTTGTGTCCCAGCCAGGAATAAAAGATAAGCCATGCAGTCCTATTTAATATAGCAACACCCCATCAGAACCCCAATTACCTTTCAGTTACACTGGGGTTCTGGGCTTAGCACTTCAGCTTTTCTCTTTGCACTGATTCCCGTCTATATACGTATATTTAATAATGGTTATATTGGGACAATTGAACTAGATCAAACTGTATACTGCATGCAGAGTCTTTGTGGGTGTGAGATGGCAGCCAGCGAATGGGTGGACTGCAGTATTTAGCCTCCAATGACCGCTAAAGTGTGTTTTGGCAAAGTTAAAAAAATGAACCCACATACACTTTACTACTTATTTGCAAATCAGACACGTTTCCCCCAAGTTTTCCCTCTTTACCAATGCTGGAAAGTCCCTGTTGATGTGCCAGACATTGAGTGAGCTCCTAATGTTCTGTTATTAGCTGACACTGAAATCTCACGCAGTGTTGTCACTTCTCCTCTGCAGGAATACAGGATGTTGGGTGCTTACTGGATTTCTGAAAAATAAACAGGCATTTTTCTTTTCTTGCAGCATTTTTAGAGAGACAAACATAGTGAAATCGGATGTGTCCTCTACCCATTCCCTTTGCTTTAGTTTCCATCAATAAGTCCACTGTCCTTTTTAGTTTAAGGGCCTATTCACACTGGTCCCATGAGTTCATCGCACAACACGCCTACTGTGCGTTAACAGCATGGGAGGTGCATTGTGCTGCTATTCATTTGAATGGCACCTCAAACGCCCCTCCTGTAATACGATCGATCGCAATACCGTGCTTTGTAATGAAAGAAAAGTAGTGCGATGAATGCATCGGGCCAGTGTGAATGGACCCTAAAGGTATCGCAATTGCACACTCCTGCATGAATATTGAAACCAGCCGTCACAGATGTAACAAAGTCTTTTACACTTATGAAATCACTTCCTGATCATATGTTTCAGACCCAGAACAAGGATTTCCTGTAGGTAGCTGAGGTTTTTTCCTTTTTGAATCAGCTTATCACAATAATAATTTGAATGGCAATTCAGGAGGTAGAAATGATAGTTCTTCATGGTCACAGGTGACCTGAGTTACATATAACTTTAGAACCAAGCGTTACAGTTCAGATTTCTGCAGATCTGCATGTCATTGCATCAGACTGTCACACAGATTATGTAACTGGCTGAAATCTTGTACCGCTACTTCCTATAATCATATCCCTGGAGGTTATTGTCTAAATAAAACACATTGTCACAACAAAGTTCCCTTTGATACATGTCACACAAGAAATATTGAACATTTTCTACAGTGTCAATAGAAATGTACGTATTTCTAATACTACACAGTGGAGCAGACAAAAACCTGAAGCTGATTGGTTGCTGTGCAAATCTGCTCCAATCTCTCATTTTCAAATCGTACCTGAGCAAACTGAAGAGAGATTCTGATTGGTTACAACGGGCAACTGCTCCAGTTTTGATACATTCCCCCTAATGTCATTTGCTGGCTGTGTGATGTTTTTCCAGTACGCACCCCTGATACACAGTGAATGTGTAATGGTCCCCACTCTCCTTTACTGCTGCCAGTCATGAGCAGAGAAAGGGCAGAGTGCCAGCTCTACACCGAGCATCTTTGTACATGAATCGTCAGCATTTCTCCCTGTGCTTCTATAGTAATACATCAGGTCTGTTATTGGGTATCATTGCTCTGTGTGCAGTTCCTACACAGATGCATGGAAGGCAGGTTTTCATTTGTAAAAAGGCCGCATTATTACAAACATTTCAGCTTTCTAACCAAGTTAATGTAAGACCAGTGAAAGAACTGTGTGTGTCAGTGTTGTTACTGTGCTTGTACAGGATATTGAAGCCTCGGGCCAATGGAAACGATGAGCCCTTGTTTATTACCCTGCCTACAGGGGATGCTCACACAGACTGCACTGGAGGAGATTGATGAAAAACACAAACATTGGAATTTTGGCCCGTTGCAACAAATGGGGTATCAAACGCTAAACTTTGTCTAAAACATATCAATAGTAAAACGATGAGGTCTAAACATTTAGTCCCTGGGGACGGGGGAGGGCAAATCGAATACAGAACTTCAATTGTGTGTTTACAACAGAAAATGGTGGCGTTCAAGTCCATAATAGGAATGGTCGCACCACAACCTCAAACCTCTATGGCTTCAAACTGATAATGTCCAGAAACAGACCAAATAAAAGGTGATTAAAGCACACAGAGCCGATGACCTAAACCTACGTGTCCTCAGAGTGACGCACTGTTCTTGTGACACTATTGCTTCTGATTTTTACAGATGCTTTATTTACTGGCTTGGTACCAAAAGACCGATCCTTTTTTTAAATAGAAGCTCCACATTGGCCTTGTGTCAAAGTCTTTCCCAAATAGCTACAAACCTTTAATGGACTGGCAAAAGGTCATGGGGGTTCCTATATTTACAAACGGATCAAAGTCTTTATCAAACGCGAGTATCTTTCCCAAAATAGAAGTGGAGCCCACAGGTCTGTAGTTACTTGGTAAAGGACCACATAGATGAGTTTTTACCGGAAAATATAAAGGATAGTGAACATGTATTCACAAAAGACTGGAATTGTCAAACACATCTACTTTCTTTTTAGACAAAGCAGCGGCTGTGGATAGAGTATACTTGGACTTTACCAAAGCATTTGACAGTTCCATGCATAAAAACCTGAAGTTTTAGGACAGGGATGGCCAAACTCCAGCCCTCCAGCTGTGGTGAAACTACAAATCCCATGAAGCATCTCTCTCCGGGAGTCCTGTCTGTGAGAATCTTGCAAAGTCTCATGGCATTCGTAGTTCCACCACAGCTGGAGGGCCGCAGTTTGGCCATCCCTAGTTTAGGATCACTTTAAGGTCTGCAGACTAAGAAATTTCAGTCTGTAAATGAATAGAAAACAATGATAGACCGTGACTAAGTGGTGTACCTCAGGGGTCAGTGTTGGGACTCTTGTCTTTTAACCAATTTTTTAACGCTATAGCGTTGGGGATTAAAGTACCATTTCTGTGTTTGGAGATGACCCCAGGCCATGTAGTGCAATGAAGTCCTTACAAGCAGACCTAATTGCACTGTTTGGATAGACATCTATATGACAAATGAAGATTAATGTTGATACATGCATTTGTGGACTAAAAACATGAATGGTAGACCATAGACTTCATAATAGCATGTGATGCCGAGCAGAAACTTTCTTATATTAACCTCCCTGGCGGTCTGATTATGTCAGTATTTTTTTCACTTTTGAATTTCCCGCCGCTTCCGCCCCCCTGCGATGCCTTGCAAGCCCCCCCATGTGATAACAATTTAAAAAAATATAAAAAAAGTTTTAAAAATTATTAAATAAGTGTAAAAACAAACAAAAAAACCTGTAAGTCCCCCATGCAAACACGCGTCAGGTGCACGTACTGATGAAAAAGAGCGCAGTACACGTTGGGTATTGACGCGCACACCAGAATGAGAGCAATAATTTTAGGGCCAATATTTACACGTATTCCTGAGCTGATGACCTGTAGGGGCTTTTAAAGCGTCGTCTATGGACTTTTTGAGATACTGAATTTTGTCAGTTTCACGGACGCACAATTTTTAACCTGCGATGTTGGTTATCTATTTACTTGCTGTAAACTCATCTTTTATAAAAATGGGTATTTTGTGGTTTTGGGCATATAAGTGCATTTTTCACTAAATTTTGGGGTTTGATAAGGAGTTGCACTGATATTGTGCA